CCTAAGATTGTGAAGAACTCAAACATTGGACGCCATTCGAAAATGGAAATAAGTAGGAAATAAGGAAATAGCCTACATTCCTCTCACTCTACAAGGGCTGGTTTGAATCCAGTTGAGACGCATTCTAAAAATTTGAAATTTGCATTCAAAATTGAAAGTAAAGGTAGGAAGTAGGGTAGGAATAAATCCATAAAACTGTGTGGTAGAAAGAAAAGTCATTTTCAACAATCCTCGCCATTTCCACTGAATATAAAAAAACTTTAGAACTGGCAATGTACCTCGTTTGAAGCATTTCTAGTAGACTTTGTGAAGCAGGCAGAAGACAGCTACGAATAAAATAATGAAGAGAAGATGTTTTTACAGAGATAAGGGTTGTGTTGTGTCTATGCCGCCTGTGAAAACACAAGTTCAAAGACATAGCAAGAAGAGGCTGTGCATACAAACACATTCAAACCAAATTTTTATTATCCTGGTAGCCTGGTAGAAATCCCTGAGTTATGTGACGCTAATTCTGTTTTAATTTTTATTCGGAAGACGATAGAATTTGCTCAACTTCATAAATACCATCCTTACTCGACAGTCGCTAACATAAGTCAGCGATCCCCTTTCCCAAGAAATGGGAAGACATGAAGCCAATGAAATCGGGTGAGCTGCCGGCTATCAGTCAAAAGATGGGGAATACATGGGGTCAGCACCTTTGCGAAGTCTGGTGCCTGTAGGCCTCGACCATGGACTACCGGATGAGTGTGCTCAAATCTCGATGCAAGATTAAGGATGTCTACCTTGATATTGGGAAAAATCGTGGGGCTTTCGATTGTGCGAAGTTCTCAAACGACCTTTGTTTTCGAATGTGTTAACAACCCTTTTGAAGGTTTTGAACCAAAATTTGACAATCCGATGTAAGGAGTGTTCTCTGCGAATGCGCTGTTGATACTATTGCCCGATCACGTCATACCACCTTTTCTTTGGGGCTCCTCGTTGTAGCTTTCCTGAACTTTGGGATTCATTTCTTTCCTTGTAGGGTAACTCGGTGATCCTCTCAGTACGAGCCCTTGTTGCAAGCGCTGCTCCTCATGTTTAGCTGGACATGAGCTGTTTGAATACCATCCTGACATTCTCATTTCTTACCCGATCCACTTGCCCCCATTTCAGCGGAGTGCAGTTTCATCTCATGCCTCTCGCTTAAAGGGGAGCAATTGCTCTTGTGGAGTTGATGAGTAATGTTAAGGATGGCAACAGGGCTATGTACATATATCTGCGTTGGAGAAAATCGGGATAGATTATATGCACCGATAAAGAATCAAAAGTTTTAGAATCTATTTAAAAAAAATGACTCAGGGTTTGCCATCAATGTAAAGCATTACAACTTGGTAACACTGCAGCAGGAAGACCAAAAAATTGGAAGATAAAATCGAGTTGCGAACCCCAGCAATAAGGAATAGACCAAGCATTCATGGTGGGCGGCACCCAATCCATATAGACAATGAGGAGGCAAAGGGCTCACAGCTTGTTTTCGCGATCTCTTAAAGGTCGAAAGGAAAAAGGGAAGTGGTTAGCAGATGCTTCGAGTAGAGGAGGTGTTTGAGTGGAGTGAGCTTAGCTCGAGCAAAAAAAACCGAGTGGTTCGGTCTGTGACTGGAACCAGTAGAAATTGCATAGGTTAGTAGGTGCTCTCTGGAGAGAAGGTACTACGGGAGAGGGGAATGGGAGGAACGGAAGATAGGGAGCACGGAAAAGACGATTTCTGGTGAAATGAGAGAAGTAAAAAAGCCTGTAAATGATATTCCTTTGTTCTTGACAACAATGCAGAGTACCCATGAGGGAAATATTATAGCCAGAACATCCGATACGGTAACTAGCTTGAGTGTGTTTACTATTTACTGACAACGAAAGCCAACTTTTTCATCATCGTCCGCGTCCAGTTAGTTGTTTACTACACCCAGTAGGATTAGTAAGAATAGCTTAATTTGGATCGAAATCAGCTCAACCTCTCCTAACAAGCCATAAATGTCCACTAATTTTGCCTGCTTCCCATCCGGTATTAACTGGTTTCCATAGCCTCTGAGACGAGGAAAATCATACGAGGTCTTCCTAGATAAAATTCCTGAACGGTGAAAGCCCTTCAAGGATTTCACCTTTGGTCCATGTTCACCTCAAAACTTAGTTAAGGCTAGAGCCCGGAGAAGAAAGATGCATGAATAATTCAGATATTTACAAAATGTCGCCAGTTGGAAGGAGATGTAGAGAGCACTTGACAATTCAGGAGCTGGCGATAGTGTTAGACATCGAAATACGAAAGAAATCCTAGAAATTCGGACGCAAGGTCATCTACTGATCGAGTTCTTTGATGTTTACTTTTGTTTTCCAGACAAAGTTGATCAACAACCGGATGTACTTTCACAGACTGAAGGCCTAGATGTCCTCTTCGAGCCCCTCAGTTAGCATGAGAAGAAATTGAAACGATTTCTTCGAAAATTGTCAAAATCTGACTCCGTTCAAGAGAGAGGAAGCTTAAACTCTAGTAGGACAGGGCAAAAACTGACTGATGTTGGCTGAAGTTCGTTTATCAGGGCAATAAAGAACTTGCCACTGGAATACGACTTGATAGCCAGTCTTTAGTCTCTCGATAAGAATTCATTAGGCTCAAACTGCTTGATAAAACACTTGCGACTTCTCGAAACTTTACTTTCGACCGATCAAAAATCAGAAAAGGCTAATGGTTTTGTAATTGAAAGAATAAAATTCCAACACAGAGAGAAGTAGTCCCTAATTGCAAAGGATAGAAATGTTACAAATGGAAACAATGAAAAGTGAACGAGGCTTAGGGCACTTCGTGTGGCAGACATCTTCTCGTCCCTATTTGATTACAGAGTACAGAGCATGCACATAGTCGCATCAGGTCTCTATTTAAACTAATGCAACGACGTCATAGCACTTTTAACGGAAATTTAAGCTTTGGAGGAGGCGAACCTGAACGGGCACTGGCCCAATTACCATTCTTGGAAACTCATTATGCCGGGGTAAGTGGCGCATCGTTGGACTACACACGTGGCCAGTTAGGTCTCGAATTTGAGTAAGGCTGTCGAAGGGTTTGTTTGGGTGGTTCACAAATAGATTCCATCCTTTCAGGCTTGGACGAAGGCTATTCTGACCAACTGATACAGTCAACTTACCGATCGAGATAAGTACAAAAATGTTTTCTTACTGAGAATCTATGACGAAACTCTTAGAGGGTGCAAAAAGTGAAAAAAAAAATTCGCGAAAAGGTTGAAATGAGTGGGAATAAAACTGCCTAAAGTGAAGTAGTTCGACCGACGAGGAGAATTGCGCGGCTCCTGTTACTCCTTTACGTAATTTGTTCCATTCTACTGAAATTCCTTGTAGAATGCTCATACAGAAGCTCTTCAGCAAAGTATGATGCTATCCGAAATCTGATACCACAACCAATAAGTGATCATCCCGAAAGGATTAATTTTCTAAGAAATTTTCTCTTCTGGACGAGATGACTAAGAAATCCAAGAAAGCAGCGGCACTGATTCCGTCCGCTAAGGAATTAGAAGAACTGCTTTGAAGAACGGCTTTTTTTAACGCTGGCAGANACCTTTGAACCCATTCGATACTTATAGCTAACTCAACCTTTTCGTCTTCAACTGACGTTCAGCTTAAAATAGAAACCATAAAAATTCAAAAATGCGTATGTTGTTGGTCACTGTGAACCCACTAAAAGGAGTGAACGAAATCAGCAGGTAAGCAAACATCAAATGAAAGCAGCTGATCGACCCCTTGTCTTGTTTCCGAGCAAACAAAGCTTGCCCTCAACAACATGTAAACACAGACTAAATGATCGAAAAACTACCCCTGCACTGCAACTTTCGATGGTGAGAATCCAATCTTTCGTCCCACTCACACTTCCACGCCAGAATCATCCGTGGTTCAGCTAAAACCAGTTCCGTCCCATATCATTGCGCTAGCTTAGACCTCTACACAAATCAATATACACAAAAAACCGTTTCCCATCCATTTTAATCGATACAACTGTAGGTATAAATAGAAATTTCAAGGATGTTATTACATTTAAAAAGGATTGAAGGACAGGAGAATTAATGTAAAGCAGTGGAGGAATACAATAACCAAATGGAAGATTACAGTAGAAGGGGAACACGAAGAGTGTACAGTGCATTTGGCTCAACATTCAGCAATATCCCTAGCGCCGCCTGCATCACATCTCCGTTTATTTTCCATTTGAATCAATACGTTCGTTGTTGTTTGGCATGAGGCCAATGGCTCACGCCGAGGTCATCTGGACGTCAACACGTGCTTAGGCAGCTGATGAACGCTAACATCTGCCTATACTGAGGCCGACCTCGCTGTTTATTTATCAATATTTATTTCAAATGAAGACTACCGTATATAAAGCAATCATTTGTTACACGATGAGCAAATGCGTTAAAATTTTAAAATTTCACAAGTAACTACCGAGTTGAAATACACATATTGTAAGCGGGCTTTCACCGGGAATAATATCCACGTAACACATCCGCGAAGACTGAATGAAGGGTAGCAGATTGTAGGGAGCAAAGACCGTCCGCGACAGGACATCAATGGACCCTAATTAGTCTACTACGGCTTCATCCGATCCCCCGAACTCAAGCGAAACCCAGTGTTTAGTGCAAAAACATGATTAACAGAATAAAACTTGGCCCCACAAAATCTAAAAAGAAAGAAATTTAAAAAAGTAATTCAACGAGAGAACTATTGAAGCATAATCTTTGTTCACAGAGGCGGGGTTTCAGGCAGTTCCGTATCAGGACGAGAGCGCTCAGTGAGTTTAGCCAACGTCCGTCACAAAGCGGAGTACCATCCACCCCTAAAGGTTCCCTTACCAGATCGTGTCATATCAGCTGAATGTAACCACCCACACAAGTACATGAACTCGTGCCGGTATCATTACATCTAGACATCACTTATGAACGATCTGATCAAAGGAACCGAATTTAACCTCAGCAACCCGTAGCTTTCAATTCTTCACCTCCTGGCACCTTCACTAGGAATAACGTTGTGAAGCTCTGAAACGAAGCACAATTGAAAAAGTACAACACATATCGGAAGAAAACGTGACAAACCTCAGCAACTGTTGGATGAATACCAATCAAACGATCAAAATCTGCTTTCGTTCCTCCTAGCTTTAAAGCGATTCCGAAACCTTGAGTGATTTCGCCAGCATTCGGTGCTAGTATATGAAATCCAATTACCCGCTCCTGAATCAAAACCAAGTGGACTTTACAACGCAGTTGAACCTAATAACTTCAAAGGTGATTCAGAGTTGACCATATTGAAAGCAGACGGTACTTTCATTTATCCTAGCCCCCAGGACATCTTCTAACCCATAACAATTACGAATCAATCTGTGACCATGCACGTTTAGCGTGGTAGTAAATAAACGGCAAATAAATGAATGAACTGCAGAGATATTTCTATGCCTAAGGCAGCAAGTGGTTTACATATTCTAGAGATATGCGCCAGTTTTAGCCTTACTTGAATTCTTTTTCCTGATTTTTTTAAACATTTCTACCACTAAACACGACTTTTCTGCCTTCTTTGTGAATGGCGCACCACGTGTGCAAGATTCTCACAAATAGATAAATCATAACTGTATAAATGTCATACTTATGAGTTGTAATTTACCCACATCAAATTCGTCGAGCCCCGAGTGCCTAGTCGCAAGTCTTAATGGCATAGGAAATTGAAGNTGAGTTGTAATTTACCCACATCAAATTCGTCGAGCCCCGAGTGCCTAGTCGCAAGTCTTAATGGCATAGGAAATTGAAGCAGACTAGTGTGAAACACGGAAATTACAATATGGACCAACGAATTCTCAGGACAGTACGAAAAAACGAAAGTTCTCAGCATCAGGAAAGGAACCCACATTCTCAGACGCCAGGCAGATCAATTTACAATAGCAATGATCCTTGTCCATTCTTTCTGCCACAGTATATTCAAGTGGAATAAAGACCGCGTGGTAGACGATGACGTTGTCTTCACCGTACCTTTCTTTAGCATTCTAAACCCGCACATCAGCTAATTCATTTGAATAATATATGAACCACACTGCAACACCGTATAATACTAAGGCCCTAATACAGGAAACCTTCAGAATATTTGCCTGAGTTTTTTCTGAACTTTCTACCACATTCTACCAGAATATTTGACCCAATTATTTCCTACACTTTCTACAGGTTTCTGCAAATAAGACTCAAAAACTAGACTTCAAAACTTTCAGTTATGTAAATTACATGGTTTAATTTGATGCTATNCAAATAAGACTCAAAAACTAGACTTCAAAACTTTCAGTTATGTAAATTACATGGTTTAATTTGATGCTATTGTATCCTCAATCCAACTAGCTCAATTACAGAAATCGATTAATTATAAACCCTTCCCATTGATCCTAACTATGCGTTGAACATGCAGATCTTTTCACCTTCTGTTTCGCTAAATCTATGGCCATAGAGCTCTCCTAAACCATTTCACAAACAAACAGTACAAACCATACCTCTTCCGTAAGCCCGCAACATCCGTATTCAAGGGGAGTGAACACAGTTGTGGGCACTTCATCATACTCTGTCTGTAATTGGAAGTAACTCAGAAAAAAGGAAACTTAGCTTAGAAACTAAGCTAATACATAGAAAGCAGAGAAGTTTACGGAGGCAAAGTAAAAAAAAAAACTACAGAACGAGCATAATAGCGCTTTACGGGCAAAGAATAAAAAACAAGAAAAACTGAACTAATAGACCTCGAGAAAAGGCTATAGTTTTCCCGTCTACACAATACATAAAGATGTTTCATAACAAATGGAAAGAACCAAACATCAAAAAACTGACTGATGAAAGTACTAACCAATAAATCTGATCCATAGTAAAGTCTATTCATGAGCACTTTACCAGCTTGAATTGCAACAGGGGTCAGCTCAGGCGTATTTGCCAGAACATCTCCAATTGCATAGACGTAGGGACAGGTCAAGGACTGCTCTCGACGTCCCTTTACCTGTGTTTGGAACAAATTAGATTGTAATGCAACTTGGAAATTGGCTCTACGCCACGGCAGTCACAACTACCTTTCCATTGCTAGCTGTTTCTACGCCGACTACGTCCAGACCAATATCTTTCGTCATAGCATCTCGGCCAATTGCTATTACAACCTATAAACGACATAAATGTTACACTTCAAGGAAAGAGAATTTCCATGACAAAGACCCACCGTATTGAACTCTTCACTATGTTCTTCGGTTTCTGTATCTGATATTTTTCTTGCAAAGAACACACGCAACCGACCTGCCTGTTTCTTGGTCTTTGGTTCTATTTCTTCTATTCGGGTTGGAACAGCACTAAAAAGTAGAATTATCATCATCATCGATAAAGAAATCTTGGTAACAAAGCACAAGTCCAACACAGTAAGAGTGGCAGGCTGTCCATCGAATGCGAAGCTCTGTGAGACCATTCAAAATTAAAATCCCCTCTGAGATTTTTAAAAATGGGGAACTCAGGAAGTAGGATTACAGAAGTCGCTTAGAAAATAGACTGCTAAAACACTTTTTCGAGAACCCTCAAAATGTGGTGGGATAAGAGTCACAATGCATTAAGGTATCAATCAAGATACTCTATTTTACTCACTTTTCAAATTTAACACCGCACTCCTTCATGTGCGCTCTGATTCGTTCAGCCATGTCTTGATCGAATCCCCTCAACAGGATCGACCGCACCATTACCTAAAATAGAACATTTATTCAATTGTTTCTTTCTGCTATTCATCTGACATAAACAGGACATTACGCATAAAAGTTATAAGTAACATTTTGAATTATTGGTCATTGTACTCACCGTTACATCATAACCCAATCCTTGAAGAAAACCGGCACACTCAAGTGAAACATATGAAGCACCAACACAAAGTGTTTTACCAGGAGGATAAGGTAGTGAAAAAAGATCATCACTGAATTATGCCACGATGCAATAAAAACATCAAATCCAATCAAAATGGAGCTCCAAAGCGGTTTCAACCAATTAACCTTGTGACGCAGTATTCTCGCACACCAGGAACGTCTGGTGGATATCGTGGACGAAGTCCAGTGGCGATCAAGAAACGATCTGCTGTAAGCTTCTCCACTTCCCCTTTCTTGTTCGTGGCAGAAATCTCGAAAGGCCCCGTAAATCTACCATAAGAATTGATATACGTAACCTAAAAACAAATCTAAACAATAACGACTAATAACAGTAAGAAGAGCATGTATTACAACCTGCTTCTCACGCAACTGGACGCGATATCCCCAGTTAAGGGAAGAAATATGATCCTGAACAGCATTTCTAAGATTCTCCCAGTTATGATTGATTTCGCCTTCCGGTATCTTCCAACCGAACATCTTCGCATCTTCTGGATAAGTAATTTTCAACCATTTTTTCAACTTAATATAGAATCGAGAATTGAACTGCACATGGATCGACACAATTTCTTTAATAAAACTTACTTATGGAGTGTCCCAAAATGGCAGCTTGATGCATAAGCTTTTTGGGAATACAACCGACATTAACGCATGTACCACCCAATCCCCAGGTGCTTCCTTGTGGTGAGGGTTTCACGAAATCTAGTACGGCTACTTTTTTTCCATGTCTGAAAAGGACAGCTGACCGTCGATCTATTTTGAAGAGTATTCTTTACTTGATCACAGGCTAAAAAAGGCACTTTCAACTTGACTATCCAAAGAAACACTCACAATGCAGCCATTTTCGCTGCAGCTAATCCACCAGATCCTCCACCAACGACAATCAAGTCGTAGGTGTGGTCCTTCAGCCACTCAGGTAACACTTTTGTGTCCGCAAGTTTTCTCAATTCATCCAGTCCACCTACTGCATCACCCTTAAACAATCGAGTACGAAAACAGTTACGAAGAGTCAATTGAGAAGATCACAAACCTTGATGAATATTAGTGGCCATTGATTTCTCAACGTGATTAGCTGTATACGATCTTTGACTTTGTCATTAACACATAATCGCACAACATCAATGTGATTTTCATCAGATTCGCATGATTTGATTATACTCAAGTACTGAAAAGCTAGCACAATCAATCATCTTCGACAGTGAAAAAAGGATTTAGAATACTCATGAATGTCCAAGCAAAATAACTAAGTAAATTGAAAACTGAATGATTAGCCGTGTTGAAGGCGTATGTCGAAAAAGAAATTCTATCCCATGTAGTTGTACCACGCTGAGACCAAAGCGTAGTTCAAGATAGGTGTATGTACGAATACATGGATGAAAGAACGGCGCAAAATCGATTATTATGGACTTCTTTCTATACATTTCTTTGATGTACACAAGAAGAAAGCTTTATTTTCTTCGATTAAATTCCTTGTCCTTGTGTTTGTGCTCCCACTTTAACAGTTATATCTTTGTGGGATTATACCCAAACGATTTTTGTAATCGTTCAAGTTTGACCCGTGTCAAAAAATACGTAAAACGAGTAATCAGAAGCAAGCAAGAGTTTGGATCCACGTTTCATATCATAACATCCTCAAAAGTAGAGTAGGAAGACAGGAGCCTAATTACATGGATTCAAAAGTATGGACTGCCAGGCAGGATGTAATGACAAGAAATCCGAACCAAAACTCTTGATTGATTCTTTCATATAGCTTCTGATTCAAATCGATCTTGAACGACTACAAATATTGTTTGGGTATCATCCCACCGAGGAATGGCTACTGAAGCGGGAATACAATAAGGAAATCAACTGAAGAATTAAATTTTTCTCCAGTATACAACAAAAAAATAAGGGCACTTCGTCATGGAAATCGCTTGTTATAACCAAGCCTTCTTAATCTCGATAGGATAGAAAGTGTGTGGTAGAGTCAGCATGAAAAAAAAAGGAGAAATAAATAAGAATCTTCAAAAATTCACCTTTTGTATGTTAGATTCATATCCAGAATATACGATAGCCACCTTGGATGTCGCTACAGTATGAAGAATTGATTCAGCATTCTCATCGAGTTTAGCACGAGTCCGGTCAGGAGACGATGACGAGTTTTCGTCACGTCTTCTTGCAGCTGGCATGGCTGACGCCACGGCTCCCATGTGCTTGGAAGCCAAAGGCGACGCGACTGAAAATTTGCAGATAAAGTCATCAACTGCAACCGTTCGATACTTAGAAACAAAGAATTGTAGTTAAGATACTGCTAGTTTGAACTAGCTACGGATACTGTGTGCCGAATTGAATTATGATCTGCTCTTTGGAGGTGTAACTACTAAGAAACCCTACGAAGGTAAAGGCTTATTGATCACAACAGCATACAATTGAACAGGAATCTGTCTGAAGTCATCGCGCGTACTTGAATTCATGGGTCCTAGTAAGCTTCAACTTCTCTACAACCTATAAATCCAACTCCCAAGAAGATTAGAACGAATGGATGTTTAAGTCGATTCAAAGAAAACAAGCAGAATAATCCTTTGTTCTGAGTATATTCATTGTTTACGACATCCACTCCCTTAACAGAATAATTGTGAGCGTGTGAACAGCTGAGCAACCCCCAGAATGTCTTAGCCAACTTTTCAAAAGTTTGTTTGACCGCTCTGAACTTGAATGAGTTCAATATGTTCTGAGAAAATAATTTGAATGAATGACAGCTCTCAGAAGAGATTTCGCTACATTAGAAAATTAATGAACCAACGACTGAAGAACACCATGTAATTCGTCCTTAGTAACCTGGCAGTACATTTGGATCATGGAACATAAAAAGAATCAACATGATCAGGGGAAACGTCACGAAATGGGGTGATGTGAAACAAATGATTATTTCTCAAAAGAACTAAAGGAAGCTTAATAGAAGCAATGAATGAGGTAAGATTACATTTCCCGAACAATTATTAGATAACTAAGGTTTTTTGGAAGGAAAACCTCAAACATTAAGCCCAGAAAACAGTGCGAGTAGCTGTGCTGTGCCATTTGACGTTGGTCGCTCAAGGTTACTGACGGCAGTCAGGGAGAGAATGAAGTCATTTGAGGGCGAGTTAGAATGAAAGAAGGTCGCAATTACGGCAGTTCGTAGAAGGGAATGAGGTAAGATTACATTTCCCGAACAATTATTAGATAACTAAGGTTTTTTGGAAGGAAAACCTCAAACATTAAGCCCAGAAAACAGTGCGAGTAGCTGTGCTGTGCCATTTGACGTTGGTCGCTCAAGGTTACTGACGGCAGTCAGGGAGAGAATGAAGTCATTTGAGGGCGAGTTAGAATGAAAGAAGGTCGCAATTACGGCAGTTCGTAGAAGGAATGTGTTTAAAGGGAAGGAGAGCAGCTGCTTGTCACAAAACGGAAATTAAACGTGGTCTAACGGAGAAAAAGAGGCGATTTAACAAATTCGAAATCACGTTCCAGCTTGTGGAATGGAAACCAATTACTGACTAAGATGGTTGATATATCAAATTATTAAGGCTCTTTTCGACGATTTATCCCTTCAGATCCACTTATGGGCAAGAAATAACACTACGGAGGTGGTCCACAATCAGAGCTTACAAAAGAAGTTATATCAACTTTGAAGACATTAGACGACACATGGGACCAAAGGAATTTGCAGCGCATCAGAAAAGGAGAAAGCCCTGCTCATTTTTTTGCAGCTATTTTGAGCCACAATTTGCGATGCTGACGCTATTACAAAGGTGATGATGAGTCATTGGCAAATATCCCACGTCAAAAGTCGAACCTAAAAACTCAAACCAATGCTTTTCCGTATCCTATTTCAATCGGGAGCCTGCAAGGACTCGGTGGTAAGAATAAAATACGAAGACCTATATAGCCATCTGTATAAGATGAGCCTTTGACAGTAATTTTTGTTCTCGAGGTAGCCGATGTAATGCCGCTCGAGAGGGCCGATTTTGCCAATCAGGAAGGTACAGGACTTTCATTCACCTAGGATTTTGTGGAGATTGAAGTACTGTAGGGTGTAGAGATGCTTAATTGGGTAACTTAATAAGTTTTACTCCATCTTTCCAGGCTCCGAAGAAGTTGGTTTCGCCCAAAGCTAAGTCATCAATGTATTATGAAGTCGCGTAGAGCTTTATCAATAAAGTTATTTCAACTTTAATGCCGATGTTTATCGAGAGCCGCACGTGAAGAAAATACGATGGTAAACACGAATGAGAGGAACGTAGCGTTCAGCATCCTGCCTCCCCTCCCGACCCATTTCGGCACAGCTTCCATCATCCAATGCGAATTTTCTGATATGAGATGGCAGTATGCATGTCAAATAAAATCCATTACGAAGTGATTCCTTCGAAATGGAATGAAAAGCATCAAGAACGGTTTGAATAGCAATTGTTTAAATGACATGGAGACAAAGAGAAGAGCATGCAGGACGATTCCAATGAAGTTTTTGAATTTGTTATGATAACAATTTCTTGAAAATATTTACTCCATGGAATTGCAATAACCAAGACTCATTAGGACTAATATTAAATTGGTATTAACCCCAAAATATTAGTATATTAAGTTGAGACCAAGCGACCAAGCAGAGCAGAAGAATGAAACGAATCAATAGCGTACAGCAGTGCGAGAAACGGAACTCCGTTAATCTTTGAAAGGAAGTAGCAAAAAAATTGAAAGAGAAATGATGACTATTAGATGAGATTGAAGTCATGCGCTATAAATGGCATATTGAAGTCTTTCAAGAGTAAACCCACATCCCAACGTCTGTCTCTAATGTCCTGCCCAGTGATCAATAACGATCAAATTGACGTCAACGACTGATTCGCATAATCAAGAACGTAAACATATTGACATTCTGCGAGTGGGGGCTAGACGAGCCTATTTATGTTTGTTTAGTGAATATAGACGCCATTTGTCACAATAATGACTCATAACCAAATTAAAGTATTGCAACAGTTCTGAAATGCAAACAGGATATAAATTTTCATGGCACAGCATCCTACTAAGAAAGGAAAGGAGAGAAGCACCAAAACCAACGGATTGCTGATTTTCCCCGAACCCGCGTAAAAAGAGTTAATGGAATCGTGCGAGAAATCCTTATTAGAGCACGCTATTTCTCAAAACCTTGGGCTTTCACGCCCTAATGAGTGCTCTAGTTTACTTGCCTAGCTATTATTTGAATTATTTTTGAGTAACGATTGGGCATCATTAAATTTTTGCAGTCCAAAAATCTCAAAAAAAGTTTTCGTTGAAATTTTAGCAATCGGGATAGTTCGATGCTCTGATAACTTGGATGACACCTTTTTCTGCCTGTGTATTCAACGCCATTTCAAGTCGATTTGTTACAGTTCTCAATATCAGATTCCATTGTGTTGAAGATACCGTTATAACTATCTTTTTTACATTGAAGGGGAAACCTTAGTGCGATATATCGCATTACCAGGCACATGCTCCTGGGATCGAATTAGGGATTGTTACCCATTCATTCCAACCAGGCCTTCACCCACGAGAATCAGGTAGTTGGTACCGTGCACGCTAGAGAGTGCAAAAATAATGACTTGCACAGTACAGGCTACATTCAAATGTCGCTACGATTCTGAGGGCGAGCCGTGAGCAGGGCCTACCCCATGGAAGGATTGGTCCATACACAAGGCTTACAATTAACCTTCTCATTAATATTGTACCGTTGTATTATTATGCCTATAATATTATCTTATTACTCTTATTGTTATAGTTATAAATTTGGATCGCCCCTGAAGAAATCTCAGCGTAAAGTAAAGAAGTGAATAACGGAAAGCTACATAAATGAAGACCTGATGAGTTAGTCCCCAAGGATGTCCTTTTAGGAACCCCTTCAAAAATAGCCCCTATCGTAGTTGACGAGGCTAGAAGGTTACTCATGACGTATCAACTGGTTTTACCCACATTTATAACGTCATGGGATTTGTTTCAACTAACACCCCAATAAACATGTTTTTCTTACGGCTGTTCAAGTCATAAACTTCTGTTGACTTCTTTCTCGGCCCCTGGGAGGCTAATGACTACCAAGTAACCCGGACGGACCGTTTAGCCTTAGACCACCGCTAAGTGTGGAATACACTGCGCTAAGGATTAGTTGCTCTATTAATACAAGGGAATTAATATAAAATCAAATGGATCTGTTGTTGTCTGTCTTGTTGTTAGTACAAGTAAAAAACGTGACATCCAGAAGTATAACCTTAGCTAGCGGAGACAGACAGAGATAAAATAAACGGGAGGATTGCTCAATTTCATGGGGCATTCATGGACTTCTCCTTCGAATAGTGAAATCAACTGGAACACACCCCACGTACATAAACTTCACCATGTTATCCACCATGACATCGGGAAATATCGAATTTCAAAAGGTTTAAGACTTTCTCCAAACTCTGCATTTGAGCCAATCTGAATGGGACCATTAATAACTCAGTGAAGAGGGAGGCCCCTTTGAGTGTAGACGTTCTGCCCTCCCTAATAGAGTGCTATACTCTCCATTCAAGAAGAAATGTAGTTCATATGGACCGACCGGGTCGGTTCCATAGGTGATATTTTGAAGCATACAAAAGTGACGAGGGGTTGTTGAAAGCACAAAAGAGAGTGACATGGAAGGAATTTAATCAGTACGCACAGTGTGGCATCGGACTGGTATTTCCAGTAATAGGTGATAAGGAAATTGATGACTATGATTACGTCAGAGCCACATGAGCCACAGTATAGTCTTTGCTTCTGGAATATGAACAATTACGCTACAACAACTTTGAATCATTCGGAAACCTCAGTGGGCAAGGAACAGTAGAAGAAGTATATATACTCACGACAGTACTGATGGCCTTTATATTTTTTTCTGTCTCTTCGAAATTTTTATAAAGTAATCGGTAACCCCATGAGAACTTTTGAAGAGCGTATTGGGTAAGCGGTCAATCGTAGCAGAAGCAAGGCATTACAATGAGATATGAGAGATTGACTAGAAGGATGAAGTCTTTCGTGCTAAACAATCCAGTTTTCAGGATGCGCCCCTCCTCCGACTTTCATTCAGAATCGTGGTGACGTTTGAAAACGATGTGGCCTCCACGGCAACGGGAGGTGGCTGGCCAATGCACGAGTCAATGCTTCATTCCTTGTAGATCAGTCCAGC